GACGATAGTCTAAAAAAACTAATTCTCAAAAACAGCTGATTGTTCATTGAAAAATACAAACTTACCTGTTTATTTCGATAAGGATATTTCATTGTTTTCTAAAATTTCCTAAAACTTTGCTGCCATTGATGAGGCAAGACAATGTTTCCTTTAAAATTTATGGCCTCGTTTGACAAAACTTCTGTCTTGCTATTATTCGGCTCAAAAAGTATGTTTCCGTAATTAAGAATTTAATAATATTCATTTTTTTTTAAAATTATCATTCTAATGCTTTTATTTAATAATTTCTATAAAATAATAAGTAAATAAAAGACAAAAAAAAGAAAAAGAAAAACGATTAATTTTTAAAATCGCGAAGAGATACGGGAACGTCGCCGGTACCAGAAATCGTGTTTCGAACTCAGGTATATAAGCAAATGTTTCCAATGTTGATTTTCAAAATGAAAGATTGTGGCAGCACACTTTTCTTGTTTACATTTGTTTTTTACCGTAGTAAAAATAAGCTAATTTTTAAAATATCAATAATCGTTAACCTTGTAACTTTCAATTGTCTTTTTTACTTTTAAAATGGTAACGGGTTTTGTAATTCAGTAACTTCAGTCGAAGCGAGACAACTCCACAGTAAGTCAAGCAATCTATTTCATTCAATCACCATAAACTTTAATTCCTTACCAGATCTATAACATAAATATTTTTATATTACCTTTGATCACACAACCAAGAACTCTAAAGTGTTTTAAATAATATTGTTATATCGTATATATGTTTATTGTTATATAAAAATATTTTCTGTTAAAACAAATATCTGCCTATTTGATGAATTCTCTTATCGTTGTTGTCTTTGTTGCATTTGATTTAGTAAAAATAGTAGAGTCAGTGTTTTATCCCACAAGTCAAAGTGTATCTATTAGAGAAGGGCTTACCATTCGAAATCCTTCAACTTATAGATAACGCTGGTGGCTACATTACTGATCTGTCACATGAGGGCATTCAAATTGAGTTCCTGCTGCCCAACACTACATCACTTATTCAGCCAATAGACCAGGGGGTTATCAGGGTGTTCAAGGCCCTATACACAAGGAATGTCCAGGCAAACCTGACTGCTTCTGTGGATGCTGCCCAAGTAGATGAAGATGAAAATTTTAACTTGATGGCATATTGATGTGCCTCCAAAATATCCAGAAGGCATTACCAGAAATGAAGCCTGCCACCATTAATACGAGCTGGAAGAATTTGTGGCTTGAGGTTATTTACAATGACAAAGGATTTACACCTGCCAAAATCCAACACTCTGCAGTACAGAAAGCTTTGCAGACATGATCACAGGAGACATTGACGAGTTATTAGACTACCACTCCCAGTCACTAACCGACACAGACCTTGAAGACTTGATGAAGCTGCCAGCAAAGAAGAAGAAATGCAGCAAGAAATGGAAGAAGTTGTCAACCAAACTGGCTTGACTTTGGGATGGCTTGACTTTGGGATGGCTGGCTAAGCTCTGCAACTTGGCTAAAGAATTGAAAGAAGGGTCACAGGAATGGGAGGACAATATGGTTCATTTTGTGCAATTTTGCAACAAGGTCAACAAAGTCATGAATCCTTACAAGATCCTCTTTGAATGGAAAAAGACGCAGCAACTTCCTATCACAATGTTTTTGCAGCCTCGCAAAAAAGTGTCAGTTCCTGCTGCTACTACTACGGTTGCACCTTCAGAAGAAGTGGAAGTGGTGGTGTCCCAGGAAAGAGCACCGCCGTCTGAAGAGATGTAAAATACAATCATCGGCAGCACAGTAGAAGTCATCATCAGCATTTCTACTGCACAGCAAATTCCTCACCATCATCATTCAAATTTTACTTCAACTTCATGTTGAGTACAGCAACAATCTTTATTTTTTTAATCTAAAGTGTTATTGCTTAATAGTTGTCCTTGTTATTAATAGATTACTGTGATGGGTGGGTTTTTAACAGTACAGGGAGGGTTTTAAAAGTCCAAGTACACATTGAATAAATATTGTAAATACGGTCTCTACTTTGCAGAAATACAGTTATCACAGCTAGTCTTGGAACCAATCTACCGCGATAAATGAGGGATCACTGTACACTCTCTTGGATTTCCTCAACATCTTGAAATCTTGTTCCTTTGAAGTGGGATTTTATTTCTGAAGAGGAAAAAGTCACAAGGGGTGAGATTTGGGGAATATGGTGGTTGTCTGACCTAGGAAATGTAGTGGTTGGCAAAAAACTGCTACACAAGCCATGGTCACTGCTGGGACCTCAGTGGTGTGATGACCACATGCTACACACTTTCCTTCCAAGCACTGCTACAAACAACAGAAGTGATCAAGGACATTATAACTGTGTATGCATGTCAGGGTTCAAGGTCAGTTGGTGGCAACCAGCTTCACACTGCATGCTTTAGCTCTATTACCATAGCAAGTCACAATACTTTCTCATCAGACATCATAAAATGACAAACCGCTCTATATACACATATCTTCCAACCACCCACTATCAATAATCAAGCAGAACCCACAATCAATTAACTGCAGGTTATCTGACAATTCTTCTAGTGAAATTATCTTCAACACAGCTAAGAAAGATTATGAAACACCCTTAAAAGATAGTAGATTTTTGACAACACTCATAAACAAACCACAAAAAAAAGCCAACAGGCTAAGAACATTGTATGCTTCAACCCATTGTACAGCAAAAAAGTAAAATCAAATGTAGGAAAAATATTCATTAAACTCATACACAAATACCCCCCCCCATCAAGCACTCCTCACAAGATATTCAATAAAATCAGGTACAGTTACACCAAAATCATAACACAAATAAAAAACAAGAAAACCATCAACAAACCACCCAACTGCAGAGCAAAGAATGAATATCTTAAATGGCAATTGCTTGCAGAACAATGTAATATACCAAGCTACTGCAAAGAAAAAAATATACATAGGAGTAACTAAAGGATCCTGGAAATAAAGAAACTATGTAAACAAGACATTCTTTACAAATAGTAAATACATGAACTGCACAATGTTTTTAAACATATGGGAAATTAAAAACAAAAAACAAATGACACCAAAAATATCATGGAAAACAGCATCAGTTTACAACAATGAATCCCAAATCTGTGAACTCTGTCTGGAAGAGAAAATAGATTTAATTACCTTCCAAAACCAACACAAATTACTAAATAAATGATCAGAACTCATCTAAAAATGCAGACATGAAAACAAACTTTTACTACATTACTTAAAAATTGAAAACAAAAAACAAACAAAAAAAACTGTTGAATTCATTTACTTTGAAAGACTTCATATTAATCAGCAACAAGTCCTAACTTCTACTACAAACTGGGAGGCTAACAGCAACCTCATCCACTCTTACCCTGTAGCATTGATTCATTACACATTTGTAGGTAGTGGCTCATTAATCATTTTTTGTTAACCATTTCACCCCATCAAGGTGATAAATTCACTAAGATGCAAGGAGTTAGTGAGTGTGATAGAATCTGAGGAAACCATTATTGAGAGAGGACTATAAAAGACCAGAATTTAAGGAGAGAAAAGATGATGACTGACATTGTATTTACATTTTTTGAATATTCTAGCAAGCAGGAACACAAAAAGCTGGAAGCATGTTCCACAATTGAGAAGTGTAATAGAATAAAATATTAGCATAGAACTTAGTTACACAGAGTAATTTCAACAGTAAAATGATGAGGCCTAGCTGCTAATCTAGTAGAAAGATTAACTTAGTGAAGTTGAAGTACCAAATAGGAAAACAATATTCATTTCATAAATACAAAAATGTGGCACAAGGCCAAAAGGAGCAGAAAGAGGGAAGCCAGTCTTCAATGTGTCTTATCTTAAACTTAGCTAGCCACAATTACTGACCCAAACATACCACAGTATTCCTTACACCAAAACAACACATTCTTACTTAAAATTTTTACTACATCCACCAGAATACTTCAAGTCTCTATGAAGTCCTAAATAGTTTGCATATGTACAATTTGTCTGTGGAGATTGGGGGGTGGGTAACAATATTTAAAAATGAAACCCCAAAGAGGAAAGCTCATCAAAACAAGTGACATGAAGATATTTATAGAAATGACAGGCAGGTTACATTGTGACCATTTCCATTTTTTATTTTTTAAATTTGTGAAGCAAGCTTTGATGGAAAAACACAGGTAAGTGGCCGTCCTGGGTATGATGATAAACTACATCTACGTCCTGGGTAAGACAATAAACTACATCCAACAGCAAGGCCTCTGATCAGGAGGTTTTGAGGAGTGTGGAACCACCTTTTAATTGCTGGTGTTCTCAGGTCCGCCTTGACCCAGGGTGGTAGCACCTGTTAGGGTCCCAGCTATGGACAAATAGTTAACTCCCAAACTCGGATCAAAACACTATGAAAGTGTAAAAATAGGTTTTAATACTAGAAATACTTTGTATAAAAAATACCAGCAAAAGGAAATTCTTACCAGAAATAGATTTGATTTTTGAAGGAAAAATATTATCAGAAATAGATTTTTGGAAAAAAAATATTACCAACAATGAAAATTGTCAGCATTAAATAACCCATTGAGGTTGATATGCCATAAAACAAAACAAATAAACCACAGGTAAGTGGTTCTTTGCACAAAGAGATAAACAAGTAAACCCTTTTCAATGAAACACAGACAAAAATAACATTTTTTAAATAAAACAATTTATTCAATTTATCCAGATTTAACTTCATTAAAATCTGAAGGCAGCCATCTTTATTAAAACCAGAGTAATTTAAAAAAAAAAAAAAAAAAATTAAAAAAATTATCAATATATTTTTTTTATTACTAAAGATAGATATAAGCCGAAACTCATGTATATTGGTCATGTGAATAATTAGCAATCAAATAATTGTTTAAAATTGATAAGCACAGTTTTTTGACATTTGTTGGTTGTAAGAGAAACAATGAGAAAACTGTTAAACAGTTGAATTTCTAAAGTTCTCTAAGGTCTGCATCGTTCAATGAAACGTGGATAGAGACAAACATCACGGATATGGTATCTGTTGAGTAACCAACACAGGAAACGTTCCAACCCAAGCCCATAACCACCATGAGGAGATGTTCCATATTTACGCTGGAAAAACAGAAATAATTAAAATTACTTCAGAAAGAAAACCCACAAAATTATACAGACATGAAAAGAAGTAAAGACAGATTTTTCAGTCAGGAAAATTAAATAAAATAAAATTAAATAAAATAAAATTAAATAAAATAAAATTAAATAAAATTAAATAAAATTAAATAAAATAAAATTAAATAAAATTAAATTAAATAAAATGAAATTAAATAAAAATGAAATTAAATTAAATAAAATTAAATAAAAATTAAATTAAATAAAATTAAATTAAATAAAATTAAATTAAATAAAATTAAATAAAATTAAATTAAATTAAATAAAATTAAATTAAATTAAATAAAATTAAATAAAATTAAATAAAATTAAATTAAATAAAATTAAATAAAATTAAATAAAATTAAAAGTAAAGAATGACAGCATCAACTGAAATTAATTACAAAACTAAATTTTACAATATTGGAATAAATAAATAGTGTCTATTATTATTTTTTTTTTTTTTATCAATTCTCAAAAACAAAGCAAATGTACAAATTCACTCTCATGTTTAGGTTTTATTACAATTCTAATCTAATTCTGAGGAGTGAAGGTAGTTAAAATAATAGTGGTGTCAAAGGAAAAACTGTCTTTTGACACTGTTTTTTTTTTGCAGGCAGGAAGGTCCAAATTTGCTGGAATTTTTATAGATTCTTAAGGAACATATTTCAAAGCCAACATTAAAGTAATCAAAATTGTCTTTCAGGAATTTATATTACAAATCCTACTGCTTTCAGATATTTTTTCCTACAAAATTTTTTTTTTCTAAATTAATTTTTTTAAAAATTTTTGAGGAGAGTAATTATTAGTATATTAACCTAATAGTCACCTACTTGTTTGTGAGCTGATCTGTTTGCTAAGATAGTGTGCCATCAAAATTACAGATACCCACAGAACCCACTTGTGATTCATAATGTGTATATATATATATATATATATATATATATATATATATATATATATATTGTGTATACTTAGGCAGCAATTTTTCATTGATACATGTTTCATTAAATAATATAGACAAGTTTTGTCTATTTATTTTAAGCAAGTTCCTTTCATATTGTCTGATAAGCTTAATAATATTATCATTGAAAGACAAAAGGAAATCACCATATTGATAAATCTAGTATATCCAACTTAACTATTAGAGCAAATGATTCTTGATTTTTAATTAGCAATTTGAGCAAAAAAAACCAACATAATAAAATTCAAGTGCCCTTTGTTGTGAGATTGTATCTTCAATGGATTAAATAATATTTATGTTGGTCACACCACAAACTCGCTTTCATGACACTTGACTCTACATTTGAATGGTAACTCTAACATTTTTAGGCATTTAAAACAACATGCCTGACCGCGTACACAATTCCGGAAAATCCTTGATGAAAACACAACTATACTTAAACATGAAAACAATAAACAAAAACTAAAAATTCTTGAAGCTATATACATAAAACAGTTGAAACCTAACCTAAACAAAATAAACTACAAAATCTCCACAAATATTCTTAAATGCCTATGATTGATAACAGAAGCCATTGGTTTATACCAACAGCTTCCCATACTTAATACTTCTCATTTTCACTCTCGCGTGGAGATGTGATGGGATTTTCGCTTCCGTGTCTCGTATACATGAGTTTGTCGTTGCTTTGAAATTTTTCATGCAACAAAAACAGACTATCATTATTGTTTTGTCCATGTGTTGTTTGATATATTGAAATGTAATTGTCATCTTTGATAATGGCTTATATAAAAAAAGCTTAGATTGGATAAAAAACATGTATCAATATGGTGATTTCCTTTCATCTTTTCAATGATAATGTTATTAAATTTATCAGAGAATATGAAATTTTCTTTTTAAAATAAGTAGACAAAACTTGTCTATATTATTTAATGAAACATGCATCAATATATATATATATATATATAAATATATAATATATAAATCCGTTGGTATATAATCCAAGTGGATCATAGTAATATAAACTATTAAAACTGATGCATAAAAAGAGCTCTATGTATTTATTATTACAGAGAAAATAATTAATACACAATAAAATCTAAAATCACCTATGGGGAATAAGCTTATTTCAACTGATGAAATTCATTAGTCTTATTCAACCCCAGTATAGACAGAGTTCATGTCGGAATTAGATATTTAACTATAACAGCTACAAAAAAATAAAAAATAAAATATATAGATAAAAAGGTGTAAGTGATAAAAGGAAAGAGAGTTCTTAGAACAGGAGACAATTAACATATAATCCCAATTTAATGTCCTATGGTTAATATCTGGGTTTAATTTTATAAAACCTCTTCCCTTTAAAACTAATACCTTCCACCCTCCCCTGACTAGTGTCTTGTACCTTTTGTATGACTGAAATATTGAAATGGATAAATTGTGTATTAGTCTTTCAATGGATCATATTTTTGTAGTTGTCACAGTTAAATTTCTAATTCCAACATGAACTCAGTCAATACCGGGGTTGAATAAGACTAACAAATTTCACCGGTTGAAATAAGCTTATTTCCTACATGAGATGATTTTGGATTTTATTGTGTATTAATTACTAATATATATCTTAAGAAAGAGAAAGAATAGATTAAAATTAGAATCCCTAGTTCTTAGCATTTACTTTTTAAAAAAGTGTTCAATATGACATAGAGCATTTTCTCTCTGGTGTTTGTTTTATATTGATCTAGGGAAAAAAAAAAAAATATTAATGATAATAACAATAAATAAAATGTCTTAAAAAATATGATAAATATATGGATATAAAAGTTAAAACAATTTTCTCTGTTTACCTGGTCAGTATACCAATAATAAGGTGTTGGGTCAATGCCTTCCCTTTCATAACCTTTCATCAATTCATCTAAATTGTACATCCTCATGGAACCACCAATAATCTCTCCAACATTTGGCATCAAGAGATCAACCTAAAACGGACAAAATAATTAAGATAAAAATCATCATCCCTTCAGATTTTTTTCAGAAAAGTCAAAATGGAAAAAGTAAAATGTCACATTTTCTTAAAGGTACTTAAACAAAATTAATAAAAACATCAACGATAAAGATGGTTGTTAGCCAACGCCAAATCCTGGAAATGTGTTTACCATTTTAAATTTGAACCTTATAAATATTTTATAATTGATTCATATTTTAATCTCAGGTGGGAGTTAATTCTTTTTGAAGAAAACTACATTAAAAATGAGTAGTTTTTGAGATAGCTCCCTTTCCTATCAGGCACCCCTGAAGCCTTACTTTTATGGGTTTAAATTTTACAGATTTTATTATTCATGAATCTGTTATCAATAGTTAAATAAGAATTTTTTAGAGTTTAGTAGTCTACTAGAAAAAGTAAAGGGAAAACCACTCCACAATCTCTCCTAAAAAGTCGTGACAATTCACAGATAATTAAAACAAGACAGGAATCTGTGGAGAGCCATGATCATCTAAGTCCTAGAGAGGTTATGGCATTAATAAATGAATTTACTGCAGTATTTAAATACTAATATTAATTAATAATCTAGCAAGCAAATGTACTACAATTAATGAATTCACTTCCAATTTTTCTTCAATTTGTACTGTATCTTCTTTCAAGCATTCGTCAAATTTTTCAGTTTTCAGGTTACAACAACTTCCATAGTGTTCTGCACAGACTGTTTTCAACACATGCTTGCATCTACTGCATAAATAACTTGGAATAACTGAGGTTAACAGGTCTACTCATAAAAATATAGGACAAAAATTTTTTGGGAATAATTTTTTTTAGATTAATGTTCTATTCTAGCTACATTTTTTTTTTTACATTAATGGTCTATTCTACATTTGTCCAAATCAAAAAATATTGATATTGTTTTTTTTTTTTTTAAACATTTCACCCCAAGCAAGGCAGGAAGCCACTAGGATGCAAGGGGTTACAGAAAATTTAGAGCAAGATCAGATAGGAGTGATAGAAGAAAGGATGAGGGTAGTGGATAGATCAAGGCAACTGGAGATGTTGATTGACATTACACTTGAATAGCTGGAGATTATAGCTCACAGGGAAACAGGAGAAGGGAAGGGAGTTCCACAGGTGAGAGGTGCGAGACATGAAACTATTAGAGTAGAAGAGACGGCTACATTTAGGAGTTTCGACAGTGAAGAGGTGAGAGCGGGATGCCAGCCTCGTAGGGCGCTGGAACTCATGACGTCTGGGAACCAGCAAATGCAGCTTCTCGGAGCAATTTCCATTAAAGTATTTTTAGAACAGACAGAGGGAGGCGACAGCGCATCTGTGAGAAAGTGACTGTAAACAAGACGCCAGGGCAGGGCCAACAACATTGCATATCCGCCTCTGGAGCCTATCAAGAACCCCGAGACAAACAGAAGGGGCACCAGACCATATATGGCAGCAATACTCCATGCAAGGATGAATTGTGGATTTTTAGATCTGGAGGATCGAATCAGGGAAAAAACTTCCTAAGCGGCTCAGGGAGCCAACTTTCCTTGCAGTGGACGAAGGCAATTGACAATGTATTTATTCCATCTCAGGTCAGCAGTCAACGTGAGACCGATGTATACAAAAGTAACAATTAGTGTGGAACAGAAGATTGTAATGATCAGGTAAATATCCACTTGGGAGTCAGTGACACTGAACAGTGGTTTGCACAAAGCTGTTCGATGTGCATGAAAATGTAACAATTAATCTGGTACAGAGGTAGGAATAAATATAAAATACTAGCAGCATGACCCAGCATTGCCCGTGCTCGATTCAAAAATCGTACGACTCATACAGCAATTGCTATCACTTGACTTAAAATATTTTTGCCCTTCCTTGCTTTTTAAAGGAGTGCCCTTTGCCGTGCTGATGTTGCTACACGCCTTACTTCTTGTCTATCTCACACTGCAAATTTTTTCTAAGCTCTATACTAAACATTAAATCTGTTACGAAAAAAGAACTAAACAAAATGAACACAAAACGATCAGCTTTAAAAAAGGACTCGTAACTGGAAAAATCGAATGAAAAAAGAATGTTAACAACAAATACTTTTTCACACCCAACCCAGTTCTCTGGACTCAGAATCAACGTTGAGTTTAAGCAAGCGAATGAGCCAATTGGAGTAAAGTGCCATACAGATTTAAATTTTTCCCACTTGTGACAAATGCAGCTATCAATTTTTTTTGCATGCTAGTTAACATTCGTGACAGTCAGTTGTTGGCTCTCACGCTGGCCAGTAGAATCTTCCTGCCTATTCCTGGCAGCCAGCTATTGGCTCTCACTCTGGCCAGTAGAAAATGGCTGCAAACTACATGAAAACTCCCGTAGAAGCATGAAAAAATCAATTATTTCCACTATCGATGGGAGTTGGGAAATGCAAACTTAGTCTTGGCCTTCCTGCTAACTTGGAGTATGTGCATGCAAATTTTGGTGCAAATCCGTTGAAAATTGTGGCCGTGCATTCGTTACACACACACACACACACACACATATACATACATCCTGCCTTTTATAGATAGAGATATCCTTTGTCCCATAATAGTCATTACATTTCATGTATGAAATGTGTATGCAAATGTAACAATTTTTACGAGACAATACATTTTTCATAACCCATCTGAGTCATTGGGGCACCACAAGTACAGCAGCCATAGCAACAATGGTGTATTTTGGGCAAAATAATCTGACAGAGGCCATCCATCTTCAGTCTAGTTTTAAGTTCTATTCTCCTAGACTTCTTGTCATCTTAAGGCAAGAAAGCCTAGTGTGCCTTGTTATTTAATCCATAGCTGGGAGGAGCAGAGATGGATTTATAGATTTCAAAAAGGTATTTGTGCAAAAATGAATACAACTCAGTTGGAATTTGAACTCAGCTCTCCAAATACTTCCTCTGTTTCATAATAATTGATAAATTTAGTATATGAAATATGTATGCAAAACTATTATGGGATAGTGCCAATATCTTATATTTAATGTTACTTGTCTCATAAGAGTTGTTACATTTGTATACACATTTCATGTACTAAATGTAACAACCATTACGGGACAGGGGTAATAATATATTTCCATTACTAAGTTGTCATTTTGTTTAAGTAATTGATGAAGGAAATTTGTAATTTTTTGTTCCTGAACAGAAAATGACCTTTATTTGTAATTTTTTCAGAGCACCAGTTCCTTATATAAAAAAAAAAAAAAAAACTGTATATACACATACAGATTCCGTTACACGGTTGTCATCTTTACAGCGTTGCATGTAAAAAGACTTGATTTCTGCGGGAAAGCGGCATAAAAGGATTGGTTCATTGATTTGATCAGTCATCTTCCTTTCAGGAGCTTCGGGAATATCCTGCAAGAAAATGGTGGGGAAAAACTTAGCTTTTTAATGTCATCAAATTATAATCCTGTTTGACCCTTAGTTAGCATATTATGTTATGCCATTATCGTTGTAAAGATCAATAAAGATTGAAATATCAGCAATGTTTAACTTTTGTGTCTGCAAAAAATGTGTAAATAGTGCATTGTTATTTTTATAAAATTATGAATAAAAAAAAAATTTTCATAAAAATTTATAAAATGGTAAATAATATTGCATTGTAGCTGGTTTACATAATTTAATAATTTTACGATTATTTATAAATTTTAGAATAAAGATTTATTTTCAAATTTATTTCTTTATAAAATGGTAAATAATAAATCTTTAAAAATGGTAAATAATAAACATCACATTGCACTTGGTTCACATATTTTTATAATCTTGTAAATAAACATTGCTGAGGGAGTCAAAAGTGTAAACAGTAATAGCAGTGTCAAGGGAATAACAATCCTTTTGACACACCATAGTTTTTTTTTGCAGATATGAATGCTAAACTTTGCCAAAATATCATTCATTTGATTAGATTTGTTTTTCTTTCATCCTATTTTTGTTGCTTTTTCTTGCTACACACAAATTGTTTTACATTCTATGAACATTAAATAAGCAACATGAAAGGAAAATAAAGACCTTATAGGAATTAAATTCTCTCTCTCTCATATATTTCAACCAATAAAATTCAATCAGGTTTGTTGGATAAACAATAATTGTTAGGGCAAATTTTTTTTAGAAATCTATAATTATCACCAGATTTTTTTTGATTTTTTTTTTTTTTTAGAAACCTATAATTATTACCAGATTTTTTTTCTTTTTTAGAAAAATTAATTATTAACAGAGTGTTTTTTTTTTTTTTAGAAACCTATAATTATTACCAGTTCTTCTGTCTATATTTCTGAGATGATAATTACAGCACTATTTACATTGTTTGGACTGTTGTCCTCATCTATGAATATAGCAATGAAGATGAGGACAAAAGTCCTAACTATATAATAATGCTATAATTATTATAATTTTTTAGAGACCTATAATACTAGATTTTTTTGAGAAAGCTATAATAGTAGATTTTGTTGGAACCTATAATGGTAGATTTTTCTAAGTGATCTATAATACTAGATTTTTTTAGAAACTTATTAATGTGCTATAGAAAACAATTTGTGAATATAACCTCAATATTGACTTATTTTGAATTTTTGATCAAGAGGTGTTAAAAACAAAAGAGTGCCAAACTGCTTTGCAAAAGCAATACTCCTATATAACGATGGATGTTTGGAAATTTCTTCACAGATGAAAAAGAGACTTGATTTAAAGATGTGGTTCTACAAATGTATACAGAGAATAATATGGACTGAACATGTGAGCAATGAGGAAATATTAAGGAAAATGGTTGATTGGTTGTTGGATTTAACGACATGTCAACTCCTATTAAGGAAAATGGAAACAAAAAGGATGCTTATACTTAAAATCGGGAAGAGACAGTCCCAATTTCTGGGACACAATGCGGAAAAAGTGCTTGGAAAATTTGACACTCACAGGACACTGAAGAGGTACAGTGGAAAATAATAAATAACCTACCTAAAGAGCTTGTGTAAATGAATGACAGCACAGGGTGTGGAAGAGAGAGTAAAAAGACAAAAAGCTATGTGGAGTGCAATGATTGCCCATGTCTGAAGGTGTACAGCACATAAAAGAAGGAAATGTTTCTTAAAAAAACTCCATCAATTTACTTACTTCCCCAAATTCATAGAAAGTTCCATCATCTTTAGTGATGTTGTGTTCTCTCAAGTATTCAATGGCATCTTTGTAGTCCATTCGTTTGAACGGACGTTTTGGTGGTTCAAAGTCCTAAAAAAAAAAAAAAAGCAAACAAAAGAGAGAGAGAGAGGGAGAAAAAAAAGAAAAGAAAGTTAATATTCAAGTTGTCATAGCAACAGTTTTTATTTCATGCTTACATAAACAGTCTAAATAAACCATTTAATCTTTTCTTCCAAAATCAAAAGTAGTACAGGTTGTAATAAAAATTAAAAAAGTTAAAATAATAAAGTTTTAAAAATGAGTAAGTAAATACAAAAATTAGTTAAATTTTATAGAAAAAAATTTAAAAAAAAAAAAAGACAGTTGCCTTATCTTTATTGTCACATTCATGTTTCAGCCGTTGTACACACAAACTAATTTTGATTAACCTCATTGTGTCTTCTCAGTCTAATGTTTTCCACCATGAACAGAATGATTATATTAAATCAATTGCTAAGTCTGCTGCTGGTCAGTTCACAATGTCATGGTAGACAATTTTTATCACCAGAATCTATCTAACACATAAGTCTGCCATTCATCCATGCACTGAATATTGCTGCCACATCTGAATTGTTGCTACTATGTATCCAGAGATTTTTGATAGAATCCAAAGAATTTGCAATGTCATCAGTTCTGACCTGGCATCTCAGCTTTACCCACATAGCTTCCCTGTGCCTTTTCTATAAATACTTTCATAGTAATTGTTTGGCACCTCAAATTCACAAGTACAGTACTAGATTGGCAGCTAGGTCTCATCATTTTGCTGTTGAAATTGCTAAGTTCTATATATATATATATATATATATATATATATATATTTCTCTTTTTTTCAGCACAGTGTCTTATCTTCCTTTCTATATAGCAATGGCAGAATGAATCTACTCAGGCAAACTGCCAGAATTTCAATGAATTACCTAGTATAACACAAATGATAAAATAACTTACAGGGTTCAGCTCTTTAACAATGTGACCCAATGGAGACTTCAAGACTCGATCAACAACATCAACAACGAGAAGTTCTAAACGGTCAAGTAAATCATCAAATGATATAAACGGACATTCTGCTTCCACATGAGAATATCTGAAAAAGTAACAAGAAAGAAAGAACTGAAGATTTCTTGAGAGAAAAACTTTGAAATATACAAAAGGTACTAACTGAATTTTGATCTGAAATTTTCACCATATAATGTCCAATTTACTCAATTAATATTCACGAATGAATTATTTGAATTAATGTATTTGAAATATTATTTTTTACAGATTTTCTGTTTGCCAAAAAAAATAACAAAAAAAAAAAAAAACAATATACAATTTGGTAATGGGAAAGTTTACAGGTTGGTGGGATCTGCATCTTTAATTATTAATTCAGGTAACACTATATTGAGGCAGTTAAATCTGCTTAAATACCTGCCAGGATTGTTTATGTTGTTGGAAGTTAAATATTTATCTGTTTTCTAAGCTCTATCATTATTCTACATCTGTCTATATTCTGAAATGAGGTAATGTAACTATTTACATTATTTACATTGTTCGGACTATTTTCCTCATCTTTGTTGTCATATTCACAATGTTTTGGCTGTTGTATGCTCTGGCATTCTTCAGGTGATATACGTTGGAATTTCAAACTGAACGCTTTATTTAGTTCACAAGGATAGATTGTTCTAAGTCCACATGCCATGCCTTTTCTGGATATCTTAGTTTTAGTTATCTCCCTTTAGTAACTCAACTCTCCAAGTTTTTGTTCATCTCTACTGTGGCCGGATAAGGCATGGCATAGTGGACAAAAAGGGTTTCATTCAAAATTCCAATGTATATCACCTGAATAAAGCTGGAGCATATAATGACCGAAAAATTGTGAATTTGATAATAAAGATGAGGACAACGGTCCAAACAGTTAACTAATCATTATTCTAGTAAATAATTTATGATTTAATATTTATGTATATTATTTGAATTAGATCCCCTTTATAATATAGTTAAGTGCCATATATGATACATGCTTGGCTGGTTAGTTTTTTATGGCATATCAATCACTGTAGGTCATTTAATGCCAAATTTAGTTTATATATATATATATATATATATAGTACTATTAAACGTATAGCTGGCAACATTATTTTTTCAAAAACATTATCAGAGGCCTTGCTGTTGGACATAGTTTATCGTCATACCCAGGACGCGGATGTAGTTTATCGTCATACCCAGGAAATACATGCTTGGGAAATCATGTCTCAATTTGTGACAAACAAGATTGTCCTGCAATAGGTTACCATTTCTTTCTGCAGTAGACTGCTTGCTAACCAAGACTACAGGACACAATGTCCTGCTATTCAACCCATAGCTGGAGAGAGAAGAGATGGATTCATACCTTTCCCAAGGGTATTTGTGCATAAGTAAATGTAATAAACCTGACTGGAATTTGAACTTGGCTCTCCAGTTTCTCATTCTGAGCCAATATATACTGCACCACAATGCACCTAACATATATGACAGATCCTGAACACTCTATTGTTAGCACATGCAATTTTCAGATGATTAGCTCTACATATTCCACACGGTAGATTTTTTTCTTTATAAAAAAAAAAAAAAAAAATACCTAGAAAAACACTGATGATCACCACTTATAGAGCAATAATTAGTCTCCCCAAATATTTACTAGTGTGTTGAGTACAGTTTTTACTGGATACATTATGAATATGCTATAGTGTTCACTGAACCTTTACAACTCTGCTGGCATACATGTCCGCCAGTTATACTCTTTCTCAATATTCTCCAGGCGGACATGTTTGCTAAGTGACAGAAATTTGTTTAAAAGGGAAAGTATGTTTCTAAAAATAACCTATTACTATGGAAATTATGGCATTAAGCTTGTGATATGAACTGGGAATGACTGGATGTCAGTCACTTTGTCCTAATTAAAATAGTTGTTTTATCAGCGAATTTTAATAAAGTGTTTAAAAAATGCTCATTTTTCAATCACAATGTGACCCCTGGAACAAGGCATGGATTGTTACATTGATAGAAGAAATTTTCATAGGCAGTGAGAGCAATGAAGAATTTCTTGGATTTATCCATGCAGATAATGGTAATGTGCATGACTGAGACTGAAAGTCATTCTGACCAAGAAGGTGGAATTTTTTAAACATCACAAGCATACAATCATCCATGGCTATCAGAGTTTTTGTATACGCCCAGACCTGCAAATGTTAATCAAGAAGCTAGTGACATAGACGTTTTTTGTTTTTTTTATCTGATGTAGTTATTCAGTTAATGTTAGTGGAAACTAAATGGTATGCATGATATGAAAACAAAATTTAGGTGACACAGCAAAGCCCAACTTGCAAATCAGAGCTTGGAAAAAAGTTTGCTTTGAAGAAATTAGTGCATTTTTGACCTTGCTTTTTTTGATAGGTTTGACAAAGTGACGTTCATATTTGTCTTACTGGACAACAGCCCCCCTTGTTTATATATGCAAAGCTTTCACAATGTGATGTTTAGAAATCATTTTTTTTTTAAATTGTCATATATTTTTTAGTTTTCATGATTTTTATTTTTTTTCTTAAAATTTATTACATATCCTTAAAACAAAATATATCTACATTTTTTACATACTTTCATGCAAATACCCTGAAAATTTTATAACATCTCTAAAACCCTAAAAGTTACAGTTTAGTAATATCCCAATCATTTAAAAACTTATCACACTCAAAATTGATATGGATCCAGGGGGAGACAACTCCAAAAGTTAGTGCAGAGTTGTTAAGGTTAATGTGCATTTTTTGGGAGACAGCTACCAAAGAATAAGGTAATCTGGCAGGACAATAAGTTTAAGTTCCATATTTGTTAAACAAAACTAATTCATACATATCTCAACCTCAAGGGAATTGCTTTATAACAGAGCAACTGTAGCAATATGAGTCAGCTGAGGTCTTATTAAATTGAAAACAGTGGCACCTGTCACAAAAGTAGATACAAAACATTTACTTTTGACCGATGGTTATCAGTAAGTGAAGTCAACTTCAAAGTACAGAGGAAGAACAGAGTCATCTTTGTCTAATAAAGTAATTTATCTTCCTTCTATGAAGGAAGATAAATTACTTTATTAGACAAAGATGACAAGACAAAGAAAATTGTTATCTATAAAACTGACCATCCTGCCAAACGGCACACAGAGGAATGAAGTGGGCCTCACAGACAGGAAAAATAATCATTGAAGTGTGCACCTGCCCACTTACCTACACCTCATCTCTACTTTGCACACTTATAGCAGTAGGTTACAACCCCAAAATAAAATTTGGTTCACTGCTAGAAATTGTTTTGTTTTTCACTCATGAATAATGATCTAGCTGAAAGGTAATTTTAAAGCCACAAGTGATTGACTGGAAGAAACTGCACCCTGTCAAAGAACCAGCTTTATGGTTTATTTTGTTTTATGGCATATCAACCTAAATGAGTTATTTAACGCCGACAAGATTGGTGAGTCTTTTGGTCTGGTGCCAATTTTTGGTTTATTTATTTGGTTTGGCTTATTTTGCTTTATGGCATATCAACCTCAATGGATTATTTAATGTTAACAAGATTTTTAAAATAGGTTCGAATGAATAGAATATGTATTCTTTGTAAGAAATCAGCTTCTAGATCAGCTTTCATTGATGTATTTTTATCGAGAGTGAAATATATTGCTGATAATATTTTTTTTTCTTTCAAAAATATATTGCTGGTGTAGTATAACAGGTGCTACCACCCTGGATCTGGGTGAACGTTCGAACAGCAGCAATTAAGAAGTGTTTCCATGCTCTTCAAAATCAGAGGCCTGCCTTGCTGCCAAGAGAATATTTTGAAAAAAAAAAAAAAAAAAAAAGAATGGGAAGGGAGATAACTCACTCTGCTAAATGTCGTCTTGTCCGAGATTGCTCAGCACGGAATGATGAAGCAATACAGAAAGTATCACCCAAGGCAGGAATGCATGTTTCCAGATAGAGTTGAGATGATTGTGTCAAGTAGGCCTAGAGAAAGTAAAGAAATATTGCTATCATAAATACTGTTGTTGTTATTATTATGATCATGAATAAATACTGTTGCTTTCATTGGCAAGGAAAATATAGTTTTATTATTTGCTTTTATTTGTGTTATTAAAGATAAAAGTATTTTTGTATGCTAGTTCACAAATACTATATCTAAAAATTTTAATTTACAAAATTAATAAAATTATATATATATATATATATATATATATATATATATATATATATATAAAAATTTAAATTATGTAATGGTCAGTTTTCAATCAGCACCTGAAGATTGCATTGTGCATAGAACCAAGTTGAACTACTGATAACGGAAAAGTGTATATTTATTATTAATATATAATTTATAGCTCTGTTATTCTAAATCAAGCACTATGTTATTAACACCAGAACTTCGTTCAAATTCCAAATCATTTTTTACTTTTATAAGCTATTACGAAAGATTTTCTTTTTAAACACTTTTAGACTTTGAAATTTATGAATTATGATACATATTAGTTTAAAAAATCACACCATTATTCATTTGTTTGTGGCACATTATATTTTGTAAAAGAATTGAATATATTTATTATGTTTCTAAATTAAATGAAATTATATTAATATAGGTTGTTTAATTTTTATGGTTACGGTTTCAAATATTTGTAGTCATCTTTTTTTCTTCAGTGTATTATATTTTTGTTATAGTATTTGCTGGATTTGTGTTGGTTGGTGATGTGCAATTTAATAGGGTTATTATCAAATAAATGGCAAGTTAGACTTCGAGATAATATGGCATGTGTGTAACCAATGTATAAATTGAATTTTTATTATAATTATTCGATAAACACTAAGTGGGTAAAAAGTTCCTAAACAATATTAGTTTGTTAAAGTTTTGATTGTATAGTTACTATATATCTCATATTATATATATATATATATATATATATATATATATAAAATATACTCACTTGTTCCCCAAAATAATCAAGATTGAACAATGTTGAACCACCTTCAACTTGTGTTTGGACCAAAGATGGAGGAGTTATCTAAAAGAAGAAAAATTAAAAAACATTGAAATGCCAATGTACATAAGTTGAATTGTTTGTATAGTTATCAAAAATCTCTGAAATATTTACTCAAGTAATATTAAAATAAATAGCATAAAATACAGAATGAGAAATTATGCTAGTACATTTTTATGTAAAGAAAGTATTGTCATAATTTTCATTAACTGTGTTTTTTATGTTAGAGTTTCAAGAAATGTTTTTGCAGGAGAATTTTTTGTTAAAAATAAAAAGATAAATAGACACCAAAAGCAAGCGAGTATATATATATCTCCAGGTTAAGATGAGAACGAATAGGGTACAATTCCAACATTCATAACATTTAATTTAAAAGAGGGATCAATACAAAAAATAGAGCAATATCATATGACTTATCTTTCTATTTGTAAGATTAATTTGGATTTAATATAATTTTGTATTAATCTTCTGGTATCATTGGTAACATCTTGTATGGATGTCTTGGTATTTTTGACATTTTGCATTGATTAGTTATTATTATTAACATCTTATATAAAGATCTTTAGTCAACAGTTGCATATTAATTTGCCCAATAATTCTATATGTTTAAATTATTTACTGGTTTCTTAAAGAAGCCATTTATTTAGCAAGTAAAAAAAAAA